CTCATAACCACCTAAAAAAAAAAAAAAATCCAAATTACCCCCCTTTTTTTTTCTAGAATGAGTTCAAATTGTACCATATAAATCTGTTTATAGTTAAATTTTATTGTTTTTTGCCCTTTGAACCATTACTAACTGCTATTCCCACCATAAAATTTATAAATCACTTGGTAAACATCCAGCTCATGTTACCCTATCCAATTACATAATGCACAAGCTGCTTGCAAACCATACCACATGAAAAATGTATTTATCTATTTTACCTAATCTAATATAAAAAGTTTAGTTTTTACCTTTACAATAATAAGAATATTAATGTTTTTTATTTAAATGCAAATTCCTTCCTTTTCAACGTTGCCCAATTTTTGTGTAAGCAAGTAGGTTGTTAAATCATTAATTACTGGTTTTATCATTCTCAATTTATTGTATGGTACACAAATCCATTCATGGAAGAAAAACAAAACAGATTGATACAAGAAGATTTTATTACTTATTAATTGGAACATTTAAGCTCTTTTAAGTGTTTTATTTATTTATTTATTTACTTACATAATTAGCAATTGATATGTAAAAATAAAGGTTTTGTTGTAAGCTTGAAAATACATATACACCCACTTTTAATGTACTGCATGACAAGTTTATTGAAATCAGGATAGGGAGTTGCTGCATGCTTACCCCCCCCCCCCCTTAATATATCTTACAATAGATATTTATTTAAAGATGTTTCTAAATTATGACTGTGTACATGCATTTGAATTTTAATTCATCTGTTCTTCATTAGCAACATAAAGATGAAATATTGTAATGTGTTAAATTCAAAGAAAACCTAGTTCTAAGGGATTTTTTAAGGATAAAGGAAGAACAATGTAAAGTTTATTCTTTAATGTATGAAGGTAGTCACACAAAAATTTAAAATGAAAAGTAAATTCTCAGTTTAATTAATTTTGTTCCTTAAAAGAATTCAGTTTACAACCCATGTTTCATGAAATATTACAGATGATTGCAAGATGTCCTAAACATACTACACACACACACATTTTGTGTGAGAAATATTATATTTATAAATATTAAATATTTTCCACTTGTTTACAACAGAATTTGTGCATTATTACATTTCAACATCATATACAAATTATAAAACTTCAGCTTATCTTCACAATGAAAAAAGTCTTGCATATATACATAGAGTATAAATGAAACAACCTTACTTGTTCTTATAAATCCAATAAACTCAAATTAAATATTTAAATGAATAAAGTTTAAAAAAGTGAACTGTATTAATGCTAGAAACAAATTGTAACAGTGAAGTTGGTTTTAGAGTTCATCTTTTTCTTTCACATCGTCAGGTTCATCTTCTTTCTCACCTTTATCATCCTTATGAAAGAGAAATCAAAATTTAATTTTTCCTAAAATTCAGTAACATGGTTTGTTATTTTTCACAATTTGTAGTGCTATGAAGAATTAAAATATTTACTGCCACCTATAAGCAGTGATTACAGCAATCTATTTTTGCAAAAAAAGCTGTAGCAAATAAATATTTTTCAATTAGTCTGTTTAAACTGAAGTTACATTATTATAGCAAGTATTTAGTATTTTTATCTAAATATCAACATGCACATCATGAGTCAGAGTTACTCTTTTTTGAGGTGTTTTGGTGAATGTGTGTGTGTGGGGGGTCACGTCATTGCTATCTTGAATATGTACCTCCTTGAATCTTGTCAATCCCACCATCAGGGTAATCTGGAAGCTGGTCTCACATAGAAGATGCTTGATCATAGCTGCAAACAGATTCTGAATGCCTCTTGAGACAATACTAAGAGTGCTATGCTTTTAGAACTTTGCTGTTTCAGATGGAAGGTCAAGTCTATCTGGAAACTCAGCACGAAGTCTCTCAAGCATCCACCCAGGATCTACTCTGTTTCTTTTATCCTCAACACCTTCCATAAACATTGCCTAAACTTTTGTCTTGAAGGATTCAATATCCCCCCTAATACACTTCTCCATGCCTTGAGCATTGCATCCAACCAGCATTAAACTCTTCTTTGCTACTCCTAATACCTTCACATTTGTGCCTTTCCTTTGTTTTTACTGAAAGAAAGCACTGTTGACATACTTAGCAGAATGTTTCATTCTCTACATCATCATTCTGAAAAGTGTTGAGAGCATTTATTCTATCTTCTTCATTATATGCTTTCCCACTTATCATTATTTCCACACCAGTTACAGGAAGTCAATGATCCACAAAAGCAAACTTCATCTTCATGATTTAAAGTAAATTCATCCTGATACACCTCGTCAACCACTGTCTCTTCATTTTCATCTTGTACGACCACATCTCCTTCTGCATTTTCTTCGTCGCCTGAAAAATTTTGCTTCTTTCCACATTTTAAATAGCTCTAAGAAGACCAGGAATGTTTCCATTAATACTGCTCTGTTCCACAACTGTAAACAAATGTCGCAAATCTTATATCAATCCTGATATAGTCACCACCTGAATATTTGAAAACATGAAGCTCACTGTCAACAACTTTTGCTTCATTAAAATGTTTAAGACGGCTAAAAAGAGAAATTGCATCTTTACATGATCTTGTCATGGCATCAACAACATCATGCTGCAACATAAAAAGGAAAACTTGTGTTCTTCAAACCATGATCATTATGCAATGCATTAAGTAGTTCCTTTGGGGAGATTGTACCCCATGTTCACAAAAGCTATAACTGCATTCATTGCAACTGAAAAATGCCCATCAATGCATCCTTTGTCATCCTGCATTTCAGTGTGCACAAAAGATTTCAACGGAACATTATGCTTTGCATGAATTAAAAGCATACCTAGTAATAGCATTCCATTCTGGTAACATTTTGAATTGTCTGACTGAATGTGTATTTTACTAATATGTGGCAAGTTAGGTTTCATATGCATCATAATACCCTCATAAATCAAAATAACTTCAAATCAGTCCTGCTTTGAATCTCTGGATAATATGTGATCATAATAATTGATCGAACATCATCTCCATTTTAATCCCCATCATTCATGCATCTTAATTCATTTCTAGTGTATACCATGGTTCCATGCCATGACAAACCTTTCTTTCTATAGCATTCAAGTGTTTTCTCTCGAAAGTATAGTGGTTCACATTTCATCTTGTAGTTCATTACTACAAAGGTCTCATCTGGTTGAAGGTTTTGGTGTATTTGAGCGATACAATTCCACTTGTTTTTTTACTCTCGGTCGATGGCTCGTGTACAACTTGAATTTCAATTTCTAGTTGTCTACAAGGGAATGGTGATCAAAACTCAATTTCTTTTTCAAAAAAAGTGGACAGTTTTGAATGGAATTTTACAACGATTGCAAAATCCATGAGAATTGCCATTTAAATTGCTACTCAAAGTGTAATCAATTTCATGGCTTGTGTAATTGTCTACACCAATATGAAAATTACTTGATAGATGGGCAAGATGTGGAGAAAATCATTGCTTTACAAACCTTAAGACTTATTAAAAAAAAAAACATATGAAAGCATTGTAATTTGGTAAGCAAATGTTAACGAAATTTGGCAGATTATCAGTAAACTTTAAAAGTTATAGCATGAAAACTATAACAAGTACAAAATAGTTATGAGGTCGGTTACAACATTACAACTTTTTCTTTTATTTTTTTACACTAAATTGGATCATTCACAAGTGCACCAATAGAAACTGCTGGCAGTTAGAGAGCACTTATTTTTGCAGCTCTACTGTGTGAACTGTGCAGATCTACAGAAAGCTACAAGAATGTGCCCATTAATTACTGTACTACCGTTAAAGAGGCAGGAACCGTATTACTTTTTCCACGGCAGTAAAAAGTATTTTTTTAAGGCCATAAAGAGCCGATTTTTGGTTGGAAATTATGCCGGTATGTCCCTCATCTGGAGCACTGGTATACATGGCATTACTCTTGATATATTTTAATGTTAACAATGCTTTTAAAGTACTATGTATCTCAGTGAGTATGACTCTTGCAACATTTCTTTGTAGAATTTGAATATACCACCCAGTTACATAATTTATATAATTTAAGAAGTCTGATGTGAAGACAGTAAAGCAAATTGAAAACCTAATTTCAATTTCATGAAAGTAATTACTGTATGAAATGTTAGTGCTTATTTTAAATACTTTATAGCATTCTGTAACTGATTTATATGTCCAACAATGCCTTCTAGTGAAATCTAGTGCATTTCAGCATTATATCTTGCATGTTATATTTTGCTTAACTTCTCATTAGGATAACTACCATCTATCATACCCTAATTTTGTTGTTGGTACAATCGGGGGTTTTGGTAGTGAGTAATTTCATTATTGTGATATGTGTGTTTGGAGCATATGTTACTGGAAAAAGTGCTGTAAGTCATTTTTTGCTAACAGAAAGTATTGTAATTCATAAAATCTAAATGAGTTCTTTTTCAGCAAACCTAAAGTGATTTAATTACATAATATTATTGCATTATTTTTTTCCACAAGATAGCTAAGTGAGTTTGAAAAGGGTACTGCTGGTAAAAATCATTTTACTTTCTGGGATGAGCTAAAATTATGAATCTTAACTCTAACTTTAGGTTATATAAAGATGGGTTTCTGAAACCATTTTGTTACCAGAAAATGAATAATAATTAAAAAGAAAATGTGATAAATCTAATTTTTACTGCCAATAGTGACTACCTGTTTGTATGCTTTAAACTTTTGATTTATGTAACTGTAGATGTTTTGAAAGATAAGGTGATTGTAGAAAGTAATGAACCATAAACAGACAGTGCCACAAACATAATATTTGCAACTGACTCACAAGAAGTACTGCATAGAATTCAGTGTGGTTGGTCCCCAGAGAGCAAAGCAACTGCATTGTAAGACCATTACCTGAATTATGTGCCAAGCCATGCAGGGATAAAACTAAATGAGGAAGTTGACTAGCTTGCAAGAGAAGCTTCTATGTAAAATATGACACAACCCCACTGGCAAGATAATATCCTCTTCTGTATTAGGAAGGTGAAAATGACAACCATAGAAGGTTTTTGTCAACATTCAAGAGGAATGAAACTGCAAGAAAAAAAAATCATATCAATTAGCTAAGAATAGTAAAAGATAGGAAATCAGTAAGACTATATACAACCAGAAGGTTACTGGTAACATCAGTAAAGAACTCACATCTACTTCCTGCAGAGTAAGTCCCCACATGAGGAGTCAGCATCTGTCTGCACAGTTTTTGGGATTGTTACCTAATACTTAACTCAACTTTGAAAGATAAGAGAAAAATAAAAAGATTGAAAGAAGAAATACATGTAAATAAAATTTAAATACTATTTTGCTCTATTCAAAATTTGTTATACATTCATATTCTTAATTATATATATATTTACATAACACATCAAGTCCAGAAATGTTTTAGACAGAGAATCTGGAATGTGATTTGAAAAGAAATAAGAACAATTCTTTATTTTGTAATTGTATAATTATTATTTTTTCCACTTAAGTATAAATGAATTATTTTATCCTCAACAGAATGCAACAACCAAAGACAAGAAGCCATGGACACTATTTTTGTACGAGAGGTGAAGGAGGGAAGTCCAGCACACACTGCAGGCTTAGTAATTGGTGATCGAATTGTTTCAGTCAATGGGCATCCGATCACAGGGAAAACTTATTCAGAGGTTATTGGTTTGATTCATAACAGGTAAAATTTCTGTTTGTTTTGTGAAATAGAATATTATTTGCTGTAACTAGTAAATGTATAGCACACACAAGAAACATTCCCTTCTTATATGCTGTGCAACAAACCTGGGTTTGTTATGCAATATTTCAGGTACAACAGTAGGAATCCCACAGTAATAGCCACATTTCCTTTAGAGTACTCTGGTGTTTGATTGCAGAATATTATACTTAGACTTGACCACAAAACATAAACAAATGGTAAAAAACTATGTTTTTTAAATTTTTGTTCTTTTTCCTTGCAGTAGAAACTTGGACTTGCTAGTGGTGCCTAAAGAAGAAGACATTTTACAATTGGTAATATTAGTTAGTGTGTGGAAATTACATGGATTTTTTAATTAATTGTCATAGATGTTTATTGTTCTTCTCTTATATGTGTTTTGGTGTCTTCAAGATAGTTTTTCAAATTATATATTTTTTCTTGTAATTATTAATGTTAAAAGTTGCATGTGTTAAGTAATTATACAATGTGTACTTGTGCTCTGAAAACTCCTCTTGAACATTTAACGTGACCCATCTAGTAAACTGCAGATATATAAAAAAAAACACATTAAGGATAGGCACAATCGCTGACTAATGTGATAATTGGTTGCGTGTTAAGATTGCAAAAATTGCTAGCAGTGATCTTTACATTAATTTTTTATGAAAATTTGAAAATTAATACAAAGCCTGAAGCAGTTTATTTTTGCTTCTTTTAATATCAGAAGCATCTCTTTGAAATGACTAAGGTGATGGTGGTGTAATTCTGGACAAAAGGAGGTTATATTGAAAATGTTAAATGTGTTTGACAGTAATTTTTGCAAGTGAATAGTATTCAATGCATTTTGTTAAAGATATAACCGTAGAATGCTGACTATCCAAATGTCCAGTTACCCAGATTAAATTTTTAAAATTAAAAATATGTATATACATATATGTCTTTTCCTTCTAAAAAACTACACAAATGTTAAACATGTCCTAACATGCTTGGATCAGTTTGTAGCAAAGGGTAGATCTTGCCAGGGAACCTTCAGTTGTGACATTCACTTTAACAAGTTAAAAAAAAGGTGAATCTGGTAAAAAAAATAGCAGAAAAATATTGAAAATATATGTTCAAGATATAATTTTTTGCTGCGTTCAAGATATAATTTTTTTGCTGCGTTCAAGATACCCTTGGTCCCATTAGTCCAGATAATTGGCACTCTACTGTATAGAGAAAATAGTGATATATCTTTTCATTCCAACAAGTTTTAATGTCTATGTCCCATAAATGCAAGTAATCATGAGTGCAATTTACATAGTTGTTCATTTGAATGTGGTCAAAAGGAAGATTACTACTATTATAAGAGAAGCTTATCTTCTTCCAGAGCTAAAAATGTAGGTTTGAACATTTAATAAGACTTTTTCAAATTTTTGTGTGAGAGCATTTATACTTTTTCTATGTTATGAATCTTAGAGAAGCATATGAAAAGACATAGTAATCCTTAGTCCACAGAAAAAAGTGATTATATTCAAAATCATGGGGAATGAGGAAAGTTAGTCATACCATTTGTTCTATTGTTCATTATGTACACTGAGTGGTCACAAGTAAATAGACACCTAATTTTTCATCATTTAACTGATTTATGCTAGCTAATTTGTGTTCAC